ACATCAGTCAAGAAGTTTGATGGCGAGAAGAACCGCTATTTGACCCGGTGGAGAGTACATTCAAATGTCGGGACGTGCGGGGCGTCGTGGGTTGGATCGTGTTGGGGTCGTTATCGCAATGGTTGACGAGGCGGTCGAACCCGAGACGCTTAAGCAGCTTACCGGGGGCGGTGCAGATGTACTAAACAGTAGTTTCCACCTGACGTACAACATGGTGCTCAATCTGCTTAGGGTAGAAGATGTCGACCCGGAGTTTATGATGCATCGCAGCTTCGCACAGTTTCAAAGGTTACGTAACCGTCCTGTTCTTGAAAAGAGAGCAGAGGCCTTGACGGAAGAGATTGAGTCCATCCATGTCGAGCACGAGGAGGTATTCCGCCAGTTTACTCTCTGTCAAGAGCTTCTTGCGAATCGACGCAAGCAATTGGCGGATATTCTGAAACAACCAACATTTTTGAAGAGATTCACGCACTCCGGCCGCCTTTTGCGTATACGCCGTGCAGCAGACGATGTGCTTTTCAACTGGGGCATCTGCCGCGCCTTTCACGCCAAGGTGCCAAACGCAGACCCAAAGTCCCCCTCCGAGTTCTCCGTGGATGTCGCTGTTATATGCTTAAAGGCCAACGCAGCGAAACCCACCTCGTTGCTTCCATGCCATGTGAATGACTTCACCACGAGTACCGCGGATCTTTATACCTTGACCTTTGACTTCACGGATATCGAAGGTGTTGCCCGCTTTCGTGTGAATCTTCCGGCAGAGCCCGACACAGAGTCTGGCCGAGCTCAGATGGTGCAAACCCTTTCGAAATTACACCGGCAATATGATGACAAGGTGCCTCTCCTCACGGCTGAGGAAATGGGCGTAGATGACCCGCAGTTTGAGAAGCTGCGAGTTCAGGTGGAGCGTCTGGAGGCTCAACTGGCAGAGAACGAGTTTGTACAAAACCCCACGAAGGAGTTGGAATCGGACTTTGAGCGCTTCACACACCGGGCCAAGCTGGAGAAGGAGTTGAATGACATTAGGGAGGAACTAAATCAGGCCTCGCGGGCCATTTTCTCAGAGGAGCTGAAACAAATGATGCGTGTGTTGCGCCGATTGGACTACATCGACAAGGATAACGTTATCCTGCGAAAGGCACGTGTGGCGTGTGAGATTACCACCACAGATGAGAATGAGATTCTCCTTACGGAGCTTTTATTCAAGGGTGTGCTGAACTCAATGGAGACAGAAATGATTGTCGCCTTGATGTCATGCTTGGTGAATGTGCACCGCACCCCGGATGGATTTTCGCTCCCGGAGGAGTTTCAACAGCCTCTGAAAGAACTCAACGAAATTGTAAGTCGTATTGCAACGGTGAGCATCGAGAGTGGTGTTTTACAGGAGGGAGGCGTGGGTGTGGAGAGGACGATGCCCTCGCTGATGGAGGTCACATACATGTGGGCCAAAGGAGCCAAGTTTGTGGACATCATGAGCAAGACAAGTGCATACGAGGGAGAAATTGTCCGGATGATGCGACGCCTTGAAGAGCAGCTGCGGCAGATGGCTGGTGCGGCACGGTCCCCTGCCATTGGTAGCATGGAGTTGCACGATAAGTTCCTTAAGGGCATTCAGTTGATCAAGAGGGACATCGTGTTTGTATCATCGCTCTACTTGTAGGACGCAGGCTCTCCTTTTTTTTTTTTTTTTTAAATTCTTCTTCTTTATCTCCTCGTTTACAGGTGACTATATATAATCCAGGAGGCAAAATAATAATAATAATAATAATAATAAAAAGAAGAAGAGACAAGAAAAAAAAAAAAAAAACCAGTTGAGAAGCCGTATAAAACTTTTCTATAATTGAAGTGGGGCGATGCCCTGCCGTTTGGTGGGTGGGTGGGCATTGCCGCGGTTTTGCATTTTATTTTTCGTTATGCATATTAACCAGTACGTCTGTATATATATATATATATAAATACATGAATGCCGTTATTTTATTGGGTGACTTCCAGTGAGGATTTTACTTGTAATGTATACTCATTTATTTGCGTTTTCTTCTATTTTTTATTTTAATTTTGGTTTAATTTGGTTTCTTTGGGAAGTTTGCGTGCCGATGTTGCGGGGGTGCTCGTGCTGTCTCAGCAGGCGAAGTCATCCATTCGTGGACGCCGTAAAGATGTTGGTCTCCAGCGGTGCTGGAGGTGACGGGGCAAGCGTCATGTCGCATGAAAACGGGAACGAGTTTGCGGGGCCTGGAGGTGGGAATGGGGGGAATGGCGGCAATGTGATGTTGCGGTGCAGCAAAAGAATTGCCGATCTTTCCCACCTCAAAGAGATGGGAAGCCAAATCACTGCGTCGCCTGGGAGCGTTGGGTTTGCCCGTACCGCCCACGGCAAAAGGGGGAAAGATTTACTGCTGGAACTTCCTGTTGGCACGGAGGTGGTGGATTTGGACACAAACGAGGTGGTCTATGACGTGGACGAGGATGGGATGGAGCTGCTGCTACTCGAAGGTGGACAAGGAGGGAAGGGAAATGCGGCCTTTGCGAACAAATGGCATCATTCCCCAACCGAGTCAACGCGTGGACTACCGGGAAACACAATGCTTGTTCAGTTTGAGTTGAAGACGATGGCAGACGTAGGGCTTATTGGATATCCCAACGCAGGTAAGTCGTCTTTGCTTTCCGCCATCAGCACGAGTAAACCAATGATTGCACCATATGTATTTACAACACTTCGTCCATATGTTGGTGTAATCCACGATTTGTATGGGAACACCTGCAGGGTTGCAGATTTGCCTGGACTTATTGAGGGGGCATATGAAAATCGAGGCCTGGGGCATCAGTTTTTGCGTCACGTTGAGCGCACACAATCATTAGCGTATGTTGTGGATATGTCTGGATCATACACACCAGAGGATAACAAAGTACCATCCGAGCCGTGGGATATCGTTGATGCACTGCGAGGGGAGCTGGAATACTACATGCCCGGATTGAGTGACAGAGCAGTTATGGTGTTTGCTAACAAGATGGATCTGCAAACGGACAGTAGTGGGGCTTTGTTGACAAACAAACTGGAGGAGCTTCGAAAACGGGTGAAGTTACCAGTATTTCCCATTTCCGCGGCACTTGGCATCTCATTGGGTACATGGCACAAAGAGGCTGGACTGACGCCCGCACTGCAGTTCATGTGTGAGGAGGTTTTCCGGAAGAAGAGGCATCAGGAGGGAATCCGCCATGCCCAGCGGCACAGGGAGGCGTTTACATTGGAAAAGAACTTTCGCGCGAAAAACTTGGGTGTTTTTGCCGTAGCCGAGGGACTTGAGGATAGAGACGGTGAGAATTTATCACTTGTTGACCAACAGCTTGACTCCTACGGCTTTAGCGGGTTGGGCGAAGACTTTGACGGCTATCAAAACGCCGCGTCCCGCGGCAAGCTGCACGACTACCGCGATTTAACGATGAAGGGGCGATACTGGTCGCTTACGCGGCAAAGAGGGGAGAAGTTGGGCGGCGAGAAGTGGCGGTGAGGAGGCGAAAGGGAGTTTTTTTTTGCTTTTGCTTTTTTCCTACCAGAGGTTTGTTTTGTGGTTTTATTTTTTTTTATTTTGTGGGACAATCCCCTCTCTTCTCACTTGTCGCGGGTACGCCATTCCATGACAGTCTTCACTCTGGAGGCCCCTCCTTTCTCCAGCGACAAGAGGAACGACACTTATTGAAGGAATTCCCCGCTTTTTTTTTTTTTTTTACTGAATGCCGCTGCACGGGTGCACAAAAACGCGCTTCAGACCGCAAAGGATAAAAGAAGAGGCACGCAGAAAACAAAAAAAAGGCCGTCGAAATAATAAAGAAACAACAACAACAAGAAGAAAGGCCTGGAGGTAACAGTATCGGGGGGTGATGGGGAAGCGTGGGCGTGAGGGGACTTTGGACAAGGCGCGCTGCCTTGCTTTTGTGCATCAGCTTTGGGACAAGGACAAGCTCAAGATGTTTCACCACCCAGTCAGCGCTGCGGAGCTGCCGGACTACCACAAGGCCATAAATTATCCCGTTGACCTGTCGACAATTCGCCAGGGCATTGAGTCCGGAACGTACGACAGCGATGCGGATGTGCAGAACGCCGTTGCGCAGATGATTGCCAACGCACTGGAGTACAACGCAAAGGGGACTGAGTGGCACCATCAGGCGCTGTCGTTCCGAAACATTTACTTGGACGTTGCAAGGCAATGCGGGCTGAGTGTTGACGACGACGCGGCGTACATCCCATCGGCGGCTTTCAAGGACAATGAGTCGACTCTGCGCAAGGCGGAGAAGAAAATTGCGGAGAATCTCGACGTGGTACTGAAGGACCTCGAGGAGGAGAAGGCGGTGCCACTGGAGGAGCTTAGAGCGAAGTACAAGCGTGCGGAGAAGGAGACAGGAAGCCAGAATGCGGATGGGAGTGATGGCAACAGTGATGACACTGAAGATGAGGAATTTGACAGCGATGATAGCCGTGAGAGCGATGACGACAGCGATGATGATGATGACAGCGATGATGAGAGCGATGATGACAGTGAAGATGATGATGATGATGACAGTGATGATGATGATTAGAGTGATGGTGGTGTTAAATAAGGTTTTTTTTTTTTTAAATTCTTTTGTGTGTGTGTGTGTGAGTGTGTGTGCCGGTGATGGCGAGGGTTGATTTGGATACTATGCCCAATGAATTACGTCACCGCCACTTTCGATTGAGCGTTTTTTTTCCAACTTTTTTTTTTTTTTTTGTGTGTGCGATGCACACATTTACACCGTCCTTTTTTCTTTCTACTTGTTTTTGGTGCGCGGTGGCTGATGTTTTTAAAGGCAAAAGGGGAGGGAAAGCAGAAGTGGGAATGACCCGCGTACTCACGATGTACACCGTCGTTTTGGGGCTGTTTGAGCTGCTCACGATAATTTTAATTTTTTGCGGCGGTACCATTGACGAGGTGACACCGTGGTTTGACAGCGTCACGCCATTCAAGCGGCGTTCATATGCTTGCATGTACATGGGGGTGCTCGTACTGTTAGTTACATCACGATTTCTTTTGGCGTACCTGCCACGACATCGACTCATTCGGATTCATAACGCTCTGGTGCACGCCCTGGAGCTTTGCCTTTTTGTGTTGCTTTGGTGGGTGAAGCAGGGCCCTGCCTCAGTGGTGTGTTACGTCCTTTTGGCGGTTATGACAGTAAATTGCGTTGTCTTCGGCTTACAGGCGTTCAGGACACCTACCCGTAGAGGCGAAATCACTCTCCATGAGAAGAAGAACAGGTAGACTCCCTTTTTTAAAATTTATTTGTCTCTCTCTCAGCTTCTCTGTGTGTGTGTGTTTGTGTGGCATTCCTGTTTTTGTTGTGATATGATGGTGTGTAAATACGTGCGCACGCATGTTTGTTTGCGATGGGCATGCACAACACGTGTTCCATGTCACCACATTTTAGGGCATTGTCATGTACGGGTCGCCTGTTGTCACGAGACACACTGCCGCCACCCTTCTGCTTGTTGTATCTTCCATTTGCCCCATTTTATATTAGGACTGTGAGCTGGTTTTGTTGAAGTTTATGTTTTTTATTCAGTGGTACTCCATAG